ATTTCAAATATTGAAGTACAAACTATTTATGTTGACGCAATTGATAACGTCTATCATATTGACTAAGTTTTGATAAGTTCTTTACTAAAGTCGGACATCGTTCCGATTCTAAATAACATGTATTCGATACTACAGTGTAAATAATTTGACATCGGAGATTACTGAGCTTCACTGGATGACGAGATAAAGATATGTTTAAAATATAAACCTCGTATGAAATAAACACCGACTTTAAGGTTTAAACCGAAGTATACCATAAAATAAAGTCAAATAATTAATATATTTATGAAAGTAGAAATTAAACTATGCAAGGAATTTTGTAGTTCATATCGTATACATAAAAAGAAGGAACGAGTAAACCGTTAGCTTAAAGTAATTCACTCCAAACAAAGTAACAAATAAAAATAGATGTGAGAAAGTTCAAAAAATTAAAACGGATAAAAAGAAACGATTCACATCCGTATCGTCGGATATTGTGTACATACATCACAGGTACAATTAAAATTGTTTCCAGTGTTGCTTCCGTCACGTCAAAATCAAAACGCCACGGTGACAACGTTACTGCGTGCTTTCATTAGCATCAGGCCATTTATCAAAGGTATTGGGATTTAGGTAATCACTGCCAGTATTCAAATTGAAAATCAAAATTTTACAGGAAGAATATAATGATTAACGATGTTATGTCAACGGGGCAATCCCTCGTCGACGCACAAAGAGCCAGTCATGAACCATAATACCTATATTGTATTGATTTGGAGCCGCTTAATTACCAGCTATGATATAATAAGTGTATTACTCTAAATATGTTAAGCGTAATTTTGAGGCATTTCGTAGTATGCAAAGCCTCTTTGTATAATATATCCGACTTCTGACGGCAAGAGACGGAAAATTGCTTCATTTAAAAAAAATGTCACAACTTACAATCACTGTAATATGGGAGAACATTTTAAAAATGAGTAGAATGGAAACGCGCACTAGAGCTAACATATTGCAGCACAGGATACGGTAATGGTCGCGGAGGAATGGAAGGCGTAGAGCGTTCGACTATTTTAGTGTGTTCGGTGTAAGGGCGATTTATTTTCAGACCTATTTCCTTCCAGACGGGGCGTCGGGCGTCGGGCGACGGGGGCGTGAGATTACTACGCCCTGAGCCACCCAAACGTGCGTCAATTACATTAAATAACGAAGTCTGAACTTCTTTTGGACTTACTTCTAAGAAATATGTCAATAGATAAATTTTAATTAAATTATGATGAATGATGATTTCCCTTTATCTTAAATACCTCCGCCGCGACTTTGTCCCCGTAGATTATTAACGTAAATAATTAACTCTAGAACTATGCCCGACTAATCTTTGTCCAAAATTTAATCCAGATCTGTCAAAAAGTTCTTGAGTTACGTTGTAATAAACATCAATTTTTATTTCGTTTTATAAGCAGTAAATCCCCTTTAACCATTCAACACGTGTTAGTGTAAATCAATAAGCAAGTGATAATTTAAATATCCCGAAAAAATTACTTCATTTGTTATGACATCTTGATAAATATATGTGAATTGTATTCAAGTTACCACCTGGATTGGGCGGTAATTTTTTACATCGTCAGCTGCGGTTTGTGGGCATCCTTAAGGGAGTAATTTTGATGTGTCAGTTATAAATCCGAGCAGCTGCCGGGCAGGTGAGGAACGTGCCCAGTGTTGGAATAATCTGGGATATTGTTGCGTTATAAGAACGCGAATTCAAACTTCAAGACATCAGAATATTCCAGTACCTTTACTGATTTATATCAATCGATGCAATTTTTTTTAATACCTAACATCCTAGATACACTTTAATATTTTGTTTTAACCTAGAAATAATTTGGTAATCGTGTATTTATAAAGCCAAATGGTCACTAAAATGTAACCTCTTGGTGACTACCGTTTTCTAGATGTATCAACTATCAAATAGTCTCTTCCTCATTCAAACCGGCTTCGCTATCATGTTTCGTTTGCGATCTCATTTAGTATTCATCATTCGTCAAGTCGTTACCCCACTTATCTAATACGAAGTTGATTATTTTTAATTGTACGCTTAGTACAGGTTGGTATGCGACCAGTTGGAAAAGTTGAAGTGAAATTTAATGTTTTGATATCTTAATATCCTGAGATAATATTCATCATGTTCATAAAAGGCTGCACTTAAATCCAGAACAACTTTGGAGAGTAACGGAAAATTTTCATGGACTTCTTTGCATTCTCTTTGCTAAATTGCCAGAAAGACCCGTAAAAGATTAAGCTACATTTAAAGCTTTGTTACCCCAACATTTTCTCACTCTCATTCACACTTCATTTGTTTTTAAATGCTTTTATCCGTGCGAAGATGGGACGTGTTGCTTGTTTATAGACAAATCAGTATATATCTACTAAGTTGTACGTCCTTGGAATACTTTAGTTCTTTAGTTAAATTTGCGGACGCTCGGACTTAGGGACATTAGCATATATAAATAAACTCATATATTATTCAAACACAGACTACGTGTGTAGTTGCTTGGAAAATGTTTGTTCGTGAGCTTACTCTGTGTTTGTCGAGCGAACTTACCGTCAATGTTTTCAAATAGTACGGAATATTGGAACTCACGTAACCACTTGTGAACTATGTACTCGGTTACTTTGAGTAAGTTTAAATGTTCTTGAGTTAACATTATTTACATATTGTAATCGTATTATACAAGCTTAGCTTTCAGCTTTCGATATTATAAACTATTAATAGTCGTGTTCATACTTTCTCTGCCATGTTCAGGTATCCTATATACTGTTCATATTCAGGTATCTGTAATAAGATTTTATCATAGATAATTATGTTAAAATATATAGGACAAATAAACCTATTTACTCTATCTGATAAATGCAATAAATTTATATACATCATCAACCTAATGTCATCCCTAACTTTAAAAATCAAATAACTTACCTTGCTACAAATTTAACATTGATTTTTTGTCATTCTAAGGAAATAAAAGTCAGCGAAATATCTGAATAAAACGTTTAAAACACATTTTAATTATTCGGTCACCCTTTCTCCGTGCAGCATAGCGACTATCTCACAGTTGTCAGCGGCGCGGGCACAGGTTGCCATAAATGGCGACATGTCTAGCGGCCGGCGATCATAATCTGAAGAAAAACGCGGTCCTTCGAGCCGGACTTGACCCTTATCGAACTACAAGCACCAAGTTCGCTCAGTTAGGAATACCGTTAATGGTGGAAAGTCAATGAACACAGATTTTCTAATAGCACGTTTAGTTAAACGGCATTTTTAGGATCGTTTGTCAAATACAAACATCTGTATATTCAATTACAAATCACTTGACCTTTGTGTTATTGGCATGTTCAACTGTTAAAAATGTCTACTTGGACATTTATCATAGGCATATACAGTAAAAAAAATTCAAAAAACATTTTGTCCCAGTTTATTTCTCTTCTTCAAGATCAATCACGATTATTCTGCCACGTTTATAAGCATAAATAAGACAAAATCAATAAGTATTGTTCATTTTGCAGATACAAATGTATTGTAAAACGACAGCTGTGTATATGATTCGTGAAATAATGGTTTGAATCTGAGTAGGCGCATCTGCCGGCCCACGTGCCGCCTGCGCTTGCATGAGGTTTCTCTTTGGTGTTTTTTATTTTCCGCTTTAAGCGCATCCATCATGCCCAACAGATGCTCAAGGTAATAACATAGTAACATTGAGTAACTCATTCTTTAAATAACATTTTGTTTTGTAGTTAAAAATATATTCATAGCATGGTATTATTATTTTGTCATGAACTTCACGGAAATAATTTTTTTTTGTTAGTAACCCTTAAAATTCAAACATAGTCTCTCTCCGCTACTTTGTTACACTAAATTAAACTTATGTATGGGTTTTCTTACAGTTTTTGACCACAAGACTTTTATAATTTTGGTTATGAATTTATAATTGCTTTATACTTGTGCTTGCTACTTGATTGAATTAAGAAATGACAAGCTCATCTAACTTTATATCAAATATTTATTCGAACAAAATCTTGCCACACGAAGGCGAGGCGAATATCTATTCTTCAAAAGTTGTTCCTGTTTGATGTTGTTTCAGATATCGCCAAAGTCTACGTTTAAATTAGTAACACTATATGTGCCGTGTGAAATAGTTCCGTTGGATTAAGAACGAAACATGTGCGCACAGGGGCGCTGTTTTTTGTCAGTCGACATAGGAACTCCTTATGGCGACATGTGCAAAACGAAATCTAACTACAAACAGGATGAAGGACTTCGTAGGGATTCCATCCGCAACAACAAAAAATATTCAAGTTGAAAGTTAAGTCACCAGGACCTTTCTTGATGATTAATAGAAAGCATTTTGTTCATTGGTTAGTACCTAAGTATCAAGACTACTAGAAGCAATACGTTAGTATATTTTCTGAGTTTGTTATACTAAAGAACTTTTCTTCTACGGGATTGAGCCACAGGCATGCTCGTTGTGCAACATCTATGGCGGTGATTAAATCTCACCATTATTATTAACTGGCTCCATTCGAACACCCACTGTCGTGAATGTCGTGCTAGGCGGGTCGGTAACTATGCCGTCCACCCACTGCGGCTGGTCCCGTAGGCGCGACAGGGTCACACACACAACGCTTTATTCATATCGTATCGGGTTCTAAACACACCGTGTTCGATTGTTCATGCCAACTCGAAATTTACATTCGGAGAGTCAATGTCGTTTGACTGATGCAAGGTCCGCCATTGTTTTGGCCGTTTCGGTGGTCCGGAATATCGTCGGGTTCTTATTAATATTTTAATGAAATAAATCTCAACTCTACAGGTCCGTGTAGCACGAATCGATTAGGATCGTATCGAATCGCAAAGTGTGAATAACGCATCGTGCGTCGTGCAAGCCAAGATCATTAGATCATCCAGATACTCAACAACATTAGAGTTGAAGGAAGTAAATTTGAATACATGCATGTGTTGTTTACTTTACCGTTTATTTTCATGTTACTATTCAATAGGACCATCGGTTCGTGTTTCAACACATATAGCGAAAAGTAGTTTTAGCACTTAAACAGCACATCCGTCACTAGCGTCACCAACACTGCATATAATCTAATCCACTTGAAAAAAGTGTGCCACTCGAGTTTTGTAATAAAGTTGGTTCGTATTTATCGAAGGTTAAGAGCAAAATACACACACGTCCAGCACACAGCGTCACCGGCGACTGACTGACCGGGCCGGGTACGCGGGTAGAGCGAGGAGCGGCGTCGTTGCCGAGTGACGCGTCCCACTCCCCTCCGCCCGCTCAGCAAAACTCGACACGGTGCTAGACTGAACGCACCTTCTGTATGAAATTTCTTCTCGTTTTTATGTTGGGATTTGATTGGAGTGGATCGTGATTTGACGGGTGCGACGACAGGGCCCTGTGGGCGCTCGCCCCAACGATGCCCGTTCGATAATGAAATAAACATTGGGACTGGTAAAGGTAAATGTATTTAAGTTGCGTAGCGTGACCGTTATCTCGCGTGTGGCGCTCGGGAGCGCATCGCCTGCTGCAGCGATAACTAAATGCGAACGCGGCGTAATATAATGCCTTGGAAACGAATTCGCAAAAGTAGGACTTATATTGTGAGAGAAAAAAAGTAACACAGCTTTTATGGTCCGAGGAATGCAGATTATTTTTTTCAAAAGTTATTAATCATATTGAAGTGAATCTTAAAAATGTTAATGCAAAGATTGATGGGTTACAAAATAAATGATGTTAAATAAAGAAGCTAGCATTAATCATGAGAGGTTAATTGACAGAAAATGAGAGGAGGGATGTGACATAATGTGTCCATTGCAATGTTCTAACCAGTTGATTAGTTGCATGAATTCGTTAATCAATTATTGATGAAGAATGATGGTGGAACATATTACGATTAGTAAAAGTCCAATACTTTAGCAACGTGAAACATAATTGATGCGTACAGATTCACCTTTGACTGGCAACATTTTTAACTGAACCTTTAATTTTATAAATTTGAAATAGTTGCTGTTTTATATTAAGAGAAAAGGTTTCTAACTAGTCGCCTTCAGACCTCCGTCAAACGTGGGCTCTTTCAGTTTTGTTTTGCATTTCAGAATTTCTCGGAAGTTTGTTTCGCAAGGTCGCTTGGCCCTCTGTTTTTAAGCGGTGTTTCCGCTCATGAATATAATTATAACTTTAGTGTTTTGATTTTATTCTCGATTTCACTTTGATGTGTCTAACAAAAATAATAAAAGTGTTTTTTCTTCATCATCATCATGAGCTCACTGAACGTCCCCACCGAGGGGCTCGGAGCCTACCCTAAGTTAAGGGTGATTAGGCCATAGTCAACTACGCTGGCCAAGTGCGGGTTGGTTGACTTCACACATATCTTTGAATTTCTTCTCAGATATGTGCAGGTTGCATCACGATGTTTTCCTTCACCGTAAGAACGTCGGATAAATGTACATATGTAAATCGGAAATCGAAAAACACATTGGTACATGGCGGGATTCGAACCCAGGACCTGCAGATTGCAAGTCAAGTGCTTCACCCCTGAGCCACCGACGCTCTTTTACCGTTTATTCTTAATATTTAGTAAATAGTGAATTTTATGTTTATAATACATTTAATATGAGAAGAATTTTATTTAAAAAACTACTATATTTTTTATAAATAGATAGTATTGATATATTAAATGAAATACTAAAATCGAATAATTACCTAAAATATATTTTGAAAGGAGTCCCTTTAGGCAAGGTTCCGAAGATACTGGCAGCGTTCCCTCTTTGAATAGCTAAACTAATTTTTTGACCTAGGTAGCTGCCAGCTCTTCGTTCCCCTGTGATGTCGATTAACTTTTTTGAAATTTCCTTAAAAAGCCTTAAAGCGCTAGGACACCACGGACCAAGGGTCTCGACGCCGAATGGGACAAAATTAATTTTATTTAATAAATTGGACAATAATTGTAGTTAATTTTTAATCTAGAGTGACTGCATCTCAATTTATTCTGTGCTGGTATTGACACCAAAAATTTTATGTTTCTTTATCCCTTTAAGATAACAAGTAAGGTTATACCTTTTGTCATCAAATTAGTTATTAATTAAGAATAAATCTACAATATTATCTTATCTGAGAAGGGCTAAAGGGTAAAAACTTTCCAAAAAAATATTTAAGATCACTCTCACAACATATTAATTGCATTAAAGTATCCAGTATTTACTTCTGGGAAATAAAACAAATATTTATTATCCACTTGTTTATCTTTAATCAAGTTGGTCATCGATAGCGTTAAATATATTTTTAATTCGTCCCGGGACGTAAAAACAAGTAGCAACGACTTTACAGCTCTAAAGCTACTGGATGTGACATTAAATTTTGTTACATTAATTATATTAAAAATGGTTTTTATCATTTAACATCACTAAAGCTGGTACAGTTGTACTGTAAAACTGTCTGTTGCCCCCGACTCTTAATTCGGAATTAAAAATAAAATTATTTAGTAGCCTATATGTTCTTCCAGGCTATGTTCTACATCTGTGCCAAGTTACATATAGATGCGATGATACCTTTCAACAGACAAATCCATCCATCCATCAATTTAAACTTTTGCATTTATAATATTAGTAATGAAGTAACATTTTTTTTTTGGAAATATGTATATTTTTTACAACTTTTTATGATTTACTTAGATAGCAAGAGATACGATTCCTTTGCGAGTAATGTTTATATTTCAAATTTATTTTAAAAATGAGTCCATTTCATCGTATTTCTAAGTAAACTTCAACATAGAAAATATTACAAACGAAGACTGCGGAGCGATAAAGAGTAAAAATAAGGTAAAACTTTTCGATATGAAAGCGCAAACAGAATCAAATAAAACTTAAACAAATTTGTCTCTTTTTGCAAGTTTACATTCGCCTTGGTCTTGTATAAATTTAATTATAATTAAAACGTCAATGCACCTCTCCGTTACTTCGCGACGATTCATTTACAATATTTTAGTACAAATTACATTAAATAACAGTGCTACTTTTTTAAATTTAATTTCTGGGTTTACCTCATTTAATAATTTTGTATCATAAACATTTCATAATTTTAATGATGGTATTTTTTAATGTTGATTTTATATGAAAAAACTATACTAATATTATAAAGTGGAAGAGTTTGTTTGTTTAAACGCGCTAATCTCAGGAACTATTGGTCCGATTTGAAAAATTCTTTTTTTGTTGGATAATCTATTTATTGAGGAAGGCTTTAGGCTATATAACATTATGCAGCGACCAATAGTTTTTTTCATTCCGCACGGACAGAGTCGCGGGCGACAGCTAGTGTTTATATAATCACAGTGTCTTAGTTTCGACAATTTTATACTTCATCTAAAAAGCATTAAAATTTTCTTACAAGGTAGATGTTTTAGTCACATTTGTACTACAGTCCTAGGTGTCATTGACCTTTACGTAATTTGCGAATTAAAACGAGAAAGTAATTCATGGTACACGTGTAAGCACGCCCTTATGCTGTACACACACGAGGGCAGAACAGTGAAGCAGCACAGCACCGCTATTACTTTAAAAGTACTGCTTTAGTGAACGTGCGTTCAATTGCTGTACTGCGCTATCTACTGTTCTGATTACTACCCTCGTGTGTATACACCCTTAGTACCGTCCAATTATTTCTGCTCGCTTCGCGGACAAAGATAGTCTGTGCACAAAAAGAACTTGTTAAGGGCTCATTTGACAAAAGCAACGCATACCGTGTTACGGCCCAGGTGAGGACTCGGATTACGAAAGAGGTTATATGTCTATATTTTTTGTTCAACTATGTTAAGGGCATTATACAAAGTGTACTGGCTGATGTATCAGTGTTGCCAACGTCGATAAATTGTGCAAAATTGCTATATCTTACTAATCTTACTTCTTACCAATATTATAAATGCGAATGTTTAGATAGATGGATATTTGTTTGAAGGTTTCTTAGAACGGCAGAACGGATCTCGATTAAATTTGGCATACATATAAAACATAGACTGGAAGAACACATCGGATACTAATTATTTTTTTATTCCGCGCTGACGGACTTGCGGGCGACGGCTAATTAATTATAAAAAATATATAATTAAATTATAAAAAATATAACTCTAGAAGTGTTCATAGCATTAGTTTTATTTAGTTTAAAGCAAATGATGCAATACTAGGCACATATTTGTATCGATAAATATACGATAAAGCTCGGTGCCGGCCTGTCTGTGTGTATATTTGCGTCACGTTCCCGATACCGAAACGTGATTGATAGTATCACATTTATCATCTGATAACAACAGGATCCATTCCTTTGTTTCATCGTATTGTTATAAAATAAAATGCATTTGTTATTTTATATAATAATTAAATATAAAAGAATTTTATACACATAAGTTTATCTGGATGGAAAGGTTCTGTGTTTATTAATCTTTGCTTAATCATACTGAATTATCTCTTCCATGTGTCTTATGTTCTTTCTATGTCTCTTTTCTGTGATAGCAACGCATCTGTAACAGTTTTAATTCTATTAGCGCAATGGGCTAGATTTCTACGGTGTACTTTTATTACCATATTTTTGGGTCAACGGAGTTATGTGAGGCAATCAGGCGGCCTTTTGGGTCCAGCGCCCTGGACAGTGACCAGCTGCGCCCTACCCTAACGCCGGCCCTGTGCATGTGCAACTTTTATGATGGTTGGTGAGTTGTTTGGGAAACTGTTTAAACTGAAAATTACGTCAACTTTAAAATAATCTTTCTTATTTTAAATAATTGGATCGAGGTGATTTGATTCGCATTCTTCCCCTGAATACCATAGTGGTGGATTCCGTTTTCTTCAATTAACTACTGCTTGTTAAGTAAAATGAATGATGAAAAGAACGGTGTGTAAATAGTACGCTAGTAATAAAAGAAATCAACAAAAACGGAGTAAAAGTTTCGCTGCACAGCGAGCTACGAGCAATTTTGTGCAAACAATTTAATTAATAAGCAAACACTTGCATCTCTATTGACTGACCGTCTGGACTTGAAAGTACCAATACTTTTAGGTTTGTGTATTTTTTATTAAGAACGGTAAATAATTCGAATTTTAAAATACGATACTAGATAAAATTCCATTACAACGGCTTGAGTGAAACGAGAAATGGGTAAGTAAGGGTGACGATTAAGGTTGTTTTCTGAGACCAAAATTAGTGTATAAAACATCAAACAACGGGGATTTTGGTCTCAAAAACCATCGGTAAAGGACGAATGATCGTTATGGGGAACAAAAAATGGTGCGTCGATCCCACATTAATAATGTTTTTGACGACAGATTTGAATGTTGAAATCAATCAACATCTTTAGATTTTTAATCAAGATGTAACGCTCGGAAGTCAACCGTTATCAGTTGTTTAGTTTTCTGTAGAACAAAGGAGGTTCTTAGAAAACTATATACCTTTATCAAGAACCCATAACCCAATGGAGTCGAATTACTAGCCAATAGTTCTGACGTTGCGTTGTCGATACAAAAACTTGTAAGACGATATCGCGGTTGCCGACGCTGCTAATTGGCCATCGCTTCTACGACAGGGTTACAGCTAGGGTGACAATGTTTACAGTAAAGGAGGATATCACTTTTTAAGCGACACAATTTAAATGTAGGTAACATATCCTGATATAAATGAATAAAATTTTCGGTTTTATAGTGCAATTTTTTCTAACTTTATAAATTCTAGAAGCGTTC